GTAACCTCTATCCTTAGTTTCATGTGAACCTTCAAGACATTTCTATACAACCATACAACATAAACACTCACACAATTTTTGTGTGTGTTGTCACACTCACATATTTAAAAAAATATTTTTAGTTGTAGATGGACACAATATTTTATTTATACACACACACACACACACACACACACACACACACACACATATTGCTGTGGATCAAACCACCCAGTGCCTCATACATGCTAGGCAAGCACTCTACCACAGAGCTACAGCCCCAGCCCACACTCACACATTTTTTGTGCACATTTAAAAAAAAATATTTATTTTTTAGTTGTAGTTGGACACAATACCTTTATTTATTTACTTTTATATGGTGCTGAGGATCAAACCCAGGGCCTTGCATGTGCTAGGCGAGTGCTCTACTGCTGAGCTGCAGCCCCAGCCCTGTGCACATTTTTAATATAAATATAATTTTATATTTATAACACAGGTTTGTAGGGTATGAACCTTTATAATGAATAAATACTGCCAAAGTACTTTCCAAAATGGCTATGTTCATTTAAATAAAGTACTTGATTACTACATTGATTACAAAAATTACCAGTGTTACAAAAATGTTTGCCAGTATGATGGGTAAAAAATGATCTCTCATTTTAATTTGCATTTCCTCATTTATCAAGGTTGAGCATGTTTTCATGTTTCTCAGCTTTTGCTGTTTTTTTTTTTCTTTTGTAAATAGCTTGTTCATGTCCTTTGTTCATCATTTGTTTTCTGTTGGATTGTTTCATTGCCAGTACTGTTTTGCTGATTTTTAGAAAATAAAAACTATTTTTGTATGTTAAGTCTTTGTATTTTAGTGTATTACATGTTACTTTTAAGTTTGTTGTACAGAAGTTTTACTTTTGGGACTACTTGTTTTTTTTACCAGTTTTTGTTGTTTTACAACATCATCTTTTTAAAAAGACCTTCCTTAACTCAAGGTGTGTATATTAAATATAATTTGCACATACACTAGCTGGGTACATCGATACATGCTTGTAATCCAAGTGACTCAGGAGGCTGAGGCAGATGGATTGCAAGTTCAAGGATAGCATCAGCAACTTAGTGAGATCCTGTCTCAAAATGAATAAAAAGGACTGAGGATGTATCTCAGGGGTAAGAAGCTTTCTTTCTCCAGTACCAAAGAACAGAAAAAAAAAGTTTATACCCACACATGTAACCCCACTGCCATATACACACTACCCTAATGCTTTTTTCTTTTCTTTTTTTTTTTAAATAGTGCTGGGGATTGAATTCAGGGCTTTGCTTATGCCAGGCAAGTGCCCTACCACTGAGCTACTTCCTCAACCCTACTTGAAAGTTTTTGTAGTTTTGTTTTTGATCTATTTGAATTTTTTTGCGTGTGTGTGTGAACAGAATAAGAAAGGCATACTACCTATTTTTTTCCAAAATGAATACACAGTGATAGCAGAGTAACCTAACTTCAGTTGAAAACAACCCCCAAGTCCCAGTGACTTACCATAGTGAAGCATGAAGGCAATTGAGGAAGCTGCTCCAGATTCCAGCTTGTTCCTTCTTCAGCCCATGTGGTCTTCAGAGGAGGGGGACAGGTTGGAGGAAGGCACTGAAATTGTTATGATCCTGCCTCAAAGTCTACATTTTACTTCCATCTGTAGCTCATGGCCAGAATAGCTGCCTGGCCCACCTGGCTACTCCAGCACTGGGAAGCACAGCCCAGCGATGGGCCCTGGATAAAGGCGGGAATAGCCGGGTGAACCCTGATCACTTCAGCCCTACCCAAAATTGTATCTCATTAAGATCAGTGATCCTTTTGTAAATCCCTGTGCCCATGGGGATTTTCTGCTTAGATTTCTTAATTTTTTTGTATTTATGCCTTTTTAAATAACTATGATCTTATAGTATTGTTATCTGGAAAGGCAGGTTCCACCTTTTTGTTCTGTGTGTGTGTGTGTGTGTGTGTGTTGCTAAAGATTGAACTCAGGGCCTTGTACACATTGAGCAAGTGCTCTACCACTGAACTATATCCCCAGGCCTTTTTTTTTTTTTTTTTTTTCTTCTTTTTTTTTGGGGGGGGGGTGGTTTACAGGGGATTGAACTCAGGGGCACTCAATCACTGAGCCATATCCTCAACCCTGTTTTGTATTTTATTTAGAGACAGGGTCTCTCTGAGTTGCTTAGCACCTCGCTTTGCTGAACCTGACTTTGAACTCATGATCCTCTTACCTCAGCCTCCCAAGCTACTGGGATAACAGGTGTGTGCCACTATGCCTGGCCTCATTTATTTCTTTTGGAAGGACAATACATTATCATGGTTCAAAAATACAAAGGATATGAACATTTAAATTGAATCCAAAGCCTTCTGAAGTAGCTGTGCCAATTCATGTTTCCCTTTCCTCCTTTATGTGAGTACTGACAGGGAAGAAGGTACCAGGAAGCACACCTGGGTATCAGTTCATTTCATCTTCACCCTACTTTGTGTCACCCCATCTTTAGATGGGGAAAGCCAAGCATGGAGGTTAAGTCACGTGCCCACATAATCTCACCCATACCTGATATTACTGTTGATCAATGTTGGTCATCTGGCACATCATTCCTACAGAACTTTACCTGCATATAGAAGGGGCACAAATGGAAGCCCTTCAGTGCCCATTAGGATCATGTGGTAGACTGGGCCAGAAAACACAGGCAAGTAGCTATGTGCTGAATAACATCTACAACTTTTACTATATTGAGACCAAAACCTGAAGAACAATGTCTATGTGTTAAGTACTATTGATGTTAAAAAATCATCTTCAGGTCTTTGGATTTTTCTAAATGTACACATATGTTAACTTTTTATCACTATAACATATACTTGAGATAATCAGATTATAAAGAGAAAAGATTTATTTTAGCTCCTTTCCTTTTATCCTTCCTTCTTTTAGCACTGGGGATTCTCTACCCTGAACTTCACCTCCTTCTTTTTTAATTTTTATTTCAAGACAGGGTCTCAATAAGTTGTGGAGGCTGGTTTCAAACTTGTGATCCTCCTTCCTTAGCCTCCTGAGTTGCTGGGTTTATAGGCATGCATCACTGTACTTAGCTGACATTTGATTTTCTACATAGAGCAGGGGCCTAGAACCAGTATGACTCAGCCCTACTCTGAGTTGCCATAAACATTTTTATATATATGAAATTGAGATTTAAGACTGAAGATTTTGGAGCTTTTGCCCCTGAAGCAAACATACTTTAGTTCCTTCTCTAAAGGCCATACAATGGCTGAAGTGGCAAGTGAAACCAGGATTAGAGGTTGCTCTTAGAAACAGGTCCTAATGTGAGATGTGAGTTAGTGAGTCTCTGTACATTTGGGGGGTAACAGAAGAAGCAGTTTAAGATAAGAATAAGCTATGCTTCATTATAATGGTCATCCTGTGCTTTCTATGTGGAGACATTCCACTGTGAGGTGTGGAATTCTCAGCCCTCACAGAGCTGTTTCATTTTTTCAGTTTATTTCTAACTTACCTTCTCTCTCTTTTCTGTTTTCTTTTCAGACTGAAATGTCTCCCATTAAGAAGGCAGTAACTGAATTCTGCCCTGGCCTGTCCCAGTATCAGATCTCCTCCATGAAGGAAACTCTTTGACTGTTCAGTTAATGTATTGTACAGATTGTATTTATATGTAAATTCCTGCTGTAAAATAATTTTTAAAACCTTGCCATTTCAAAGTCTGCCTTGAAAGGTTGTAGAAATTGATTTCTATTTTTAACTTCAGTTAGTGTCAGAGGGAAAAATTCAGACTGAACAGTTTAATTAAAGTGGCATTTTTCTATTTTCTTCTTGGGTTTTTAATTTCCTGGAATTTTAAAAAAGAAATTAAAAATGAAGACTTTCTCATAGTTTTGTTATGAAGAGAATTGAGCACTGTAAGGTCAGTTTGGACATACTGAAGGATGTGGGTGTGTGGGGGGTGGTTCTTTGGAAGTGGAGCAGCACAGAGCCAGGGTCCTGGCTGGGGCCCTTATCTTCTCAGAGTTGGTGTCACTAAAGTGTTCAAGATAGGCAAGGAGTCAGAATGGGAGGATGTGCACCCACACAGCCTGAGTCATGCCTGCTCTAGGTCCTTGCCCTGGTAGCCCTTGGGTCCCTGCTCTGAGGCCACCTCATGTGTACCCACGAGAAACCTTTTCAGAAAGCAAAGTGCAGCTCAGTGGTTCAGTGCTTGCCTAACATAAAAGTGTCCCTGGGTTCCAGCCCTAGCATGGTAGGAGCAGGGTGGAGAAAAAGCCAAATGCAGAGGTTTTTACATTATGAAATTAACCTCATAAATCAGAACAACCATAAAAGGAGAAAGAAGGGGGAAAAAATCAGTTCTAGTTTTACCACCCAGAGGTAACAGCGTTCAATTTTTTGGACTAATTCCATCCAGTCTTTTTTAGCCATGAGGCAACTGTTATCTGACTACAGGCAGCATTTCCCTTTGACCTTGTGACAGATCTTTCCCTTAAGTCTTATAAACTGTATAAACCCTCCCCTAACAGCTGCATGCATTCTGTCCAGGGGCCATTCCATAACTCATTGATCATTTCTCTATCAACTGACAGACATGAAGTGGATGAGCCCAGGAGCTCCTATGCATGCAAAGGACACAGAAATCCCTCTGTGACAGGGAGCTAGAGTTGGTGTCACTAAAATGAGGGCACAAAGATTGGTTATTAAATTTGCATGCTCTGTCCCCTTCCTCTTATGCCCAGAGCCTGACTCCATTTTTCTAGGGGTAGCAGTGTTCTGCGGTGGGAGGAACCATTTTCACTCTGTAGGTGAGTAGGCGGCCAGCAGCGTAGCTCGTGAGTCGAACGGCCTCCTGAGGTGCGCGTGTTGCTACCGTTCTGGCCAGGCCTATGGGTGGCCACCAGCGGGTTGGGTCCAGAGATGGCTTCCAGGAGGCCAGGTTCCCCAAAACCCATAAGCAAGGACTGGAAGAGGTCGGTTCCTCCGGGAATGCACTGGCCTCTCAAGATGCCTGGGGCTACTTACGTGGCGAGAGCCAAGCGCCGTTTCAAGCTGTCCATCCCGGATATATACCACAGCCGGCTGCTGGCCTCTCTCGGTCCCCTGGCCTTGGACAAGGAGGCTCCGCAGAAGCCTGTGAAACAGGAGATAATGTCAGAGGAAAGGTTCTGGGGCGACCACCAGCCCCTCTCCAAGGTCAGAACCACCCCTGGGGTGAGGGGCAGTGACCAGGCCCCCATGGGTAGGGAGGGCGCGCAGGCCAGCAAGTGACTTATGGGTGACCCACCTGGTTTCTCCAGCCACTGTCCTCTGCCTGTCAGCAGCATCCCTGGAGGGGAAAAGCTCAGAAACTGCTGTGGCAGGGCCAACTGGTGGAGATGCTGGGTGTCCCTGGGATTCCCGGGCCACAGCTTACTGGGGAAACCAGGATTCTTGTGCGGAGAGGACTCTCGTCCGCCACCTACCACGGTTTGCTTATGCCCTCTGGTGGCGGATCCCATGAGTTCCCTTATCCCTGTGTTCCCATACCTTCTGAAGGCGGGTATCTTCTAGTCCTCCGCATCTCCACAGTCCTGCTGTTCTCCGCACACCGCGGAGTCACCCGCAACCCTGCGTGCCACCCACGCCCTACGCTTCCTCGGACTTAGTCTGAGCATGTCTGCTTTCCTGAAGCGGAGCCCAAACCCCTCATCTCATTGTTCTATCTTTCTTCACACCAGCCATTACCACGAACAATTCTAAAATGTTTCCATCTCTCTCCGAGAAACCCTGTACCAGCTATCAGTCACTCCCTTTTACCACAGCTCATCCTCCCAAGCTATGGCAACCACCAATCTATTTTTCGTCTTTATAGATTCACCTATCTTAGACCTCTCATAGTAAGAGAATCAAGTGACAGGTGGTCTTTTATGAATAAAAGATTATTATTCTTTTATTTTTTTAATATTTTTTATTATTATTCTTTTCCTTAGCCTAAATTTTTAGTGGTTCATCCACATTGTTGCATGCATCTGTACTTATTTTTTTTTTTTTTGCCAAATAATATTCCATTATATGGCTGTTTTAGTCAGCTTTTTCACTGCTGTGACTGAAAGACCCGACCAGTACAACTGTAGAGGAGGAAAAGTTTGAGGGCTCATGGTTGCAGAGGTCTCAGTCCATAGACAGCCGAAGTCCATTGCCCCAGGTTCAAGGAGAGGCTGAATATCATGGTGGAAGAGTATGGCAGAGGGAAGCAGCTCACTTGGTGATCAGAAAGCAGAGAGAGACTCCACTCTCCAGATATAAAATATATAACTCATAACCATAGGCTGAATGAACCATTTCCTTCAGCCACCCCCACCTGTCTTCAGTTACCACTCAGTTAATCCCACCAGGGATTAATTCACTGTCATAGTTAAGGCTGTGACTCAATCATTTCTCCTCCAAAGCTTCCTGCATTGTCTCCCACGTGAGCTTCTGGGGACAACTCACATCCAAACTATAATATTGGCTGTGAAATTTTATTTATTCATTCATCACTTGCTGGATATCTGGGTTGTTCCCACTTAATGCATTAATAATGCTGCCATGAACATTTTTGGCACACACATTTTTTTGTGTGGATATTTTCATTTCTATGGGGTCTCCACCTAGGTGTGAAATTGCTAGGTCATATTTTATTTATTTATTTATTTATTTATTTATTTATTTTTTAGTTTTCGGTGGACACAGCATCTTTATTTTATTTGTATGTGGTGCTGAGGATCGAACCCAGCGTCGCGCGCATGCCAGGCGAGCGCGCTACCGCTTGAGCCACATCTCCAGCCCAGCTAGGTCATATTTTAATTCACAAATTTCACTTTCTGAAAAACTGCAAAATTATTTTCCAAAATAGCTGTACCACTTTGTGTTCCTGCCAGCAATGTGAGTTTCCATTTTTCCAAATCCCTGGCCAACAGCTACCTTAATTAGTGTGACATGGTATCACACTATGGCTTTCATTTTCATTTCCTAATGGCTAATGATGTTGAGAGTCTCTTCATATACTATCAACTATTGGCATGTCTTTGGAGAAATGTCTGTTCAGATCTTTTGCTATTTTTTTTTCTTCTGTTCTGGGCATTGAACCCAGAGTATCATTCATGCTAGGAAAAATCTTGTATCACTGAGTTACATCCCTGGCTCTTTTGCCTACTTTTTTTTTGTGGTATTTGTCTTTTTATTGATGAGTTGTAAGAGTTCTTAATATATTCCAGGGCTGTGGGTATAGCTCAGTTGGTAGAGTGCTTGCCTTGCATGTATAAGGCCCTGAGTTCAATCCCCAGCACCACAAAATAATAATAATAATAATAATAATAATAATAATAATAATAAATATTTATTTTTTTCCAGATACAAGTCCCCTATCATATATATTATTAAAAATTATTCCCAATTATGGTAGCACATTCCTGTAATCCCAGCAACTTAGGAGACTGAGGCAGAAAGATCGAAAATTCACAGCCAAACAGAACAACTAAGTGACATCTTGTCTCAAAATAAAAAATAAAAGAGCTGGGGATACAATTCAATGGGAGAGTGCCTCTGGATTCAATCCCTAGTACCAAAAAATAAAACTAAAAAATTCCCATTATGTGATTTTTTTTCACTTTTTTGATGGTATGCTTTTAAAAAAACTAATTCTTTATTGATAAATATTTACACTAGAATTAGAAATGTCAGTAGAAAAGTAGAATTTAGAATCATTTTGGAGAATATTGTCATATTAAATATATTGTACAAAGATTTGATCATTAAAAATACAGAATGCTTCATGAATTTGCATGTCATCCTTGTGCAGGTACCATGCTAACTTCTATATTCTTCCAATTTTATTATATGTACTACTGAAGTGAAAGTTCTCTTTGAAATTGTGCTTGAAAGCACAATTTTTTTTCATTTTGCTAATGTCCACCCTGTTATTTTTGTTGTTATTGCTTGTGTTTTGGTGTCATATCTAAGACGCTATGCCTAATGCAAAAATCATTTACACTTGTTTTCTTGTAAGAGTCATAGTTTTAACTCTTACATTTGAGTCTTTGATTCACGTTGAGATTGTTTTAATAGATGGTGTGAGGTAAAGGTCCAACCCTGTTCTCTTGCCATTTGTCTCAGCAAAAACTGCTAAAAAAGGCTATTGTCTCTTTTTAATTGTCTTGACACCCTTATAAAAATTAAATGTTTCTTTCTGGATTCTCAGTTATATTTCATTTATTTGTAGTTCTGTATTTATGCCATTATTATGCTGTCTTGGTCAGTTGCTTGGTAGTAAGTTTTGAAATTAGAAAATGTGAGTCCTCTAGTCCTCTACATTTATTTATTTATTTATTTTTGTGGTGCTGGGCATTGAACCCAGGGCCTTGTGCATACGAGGTAAGTACTCTACCAACTGAGCTATATCCCCAGCCCTTCCTTACCTTTATTCTTAAGATTGTCTTGGTTATTTGGGTTCTCCTGAATTTCTATAAAAGTTTTAGAATCAGCTTAGCAATTTCTACAAATAAGTCAGCTTAGAATTTGGATGGTGTTGAATCATTTTGGAGAATATTGTCATATTAAAAACATCATATCTGCCCATCTATGAACATGGTGTGTCTTTCCATTTATTTTGATCGTCTTTAAATTCTTTCAATAATATCTTTTTTTCAGAGTGTAGGTTTTATATTTTCTTTGTTCATTCAATTCTTATATATTCTTTTTGATGATTTTACAAATGTTTTTTGTTTGGAATGTTTTATTTTGCTCATGTATTGTGGTTAGAAATATAATTGTTTTTTATATATTGACCTTGTATCCTGTAACATTTTTTTTTTTTTTTTATGGTACTAGGGATCGAACCCAGGGGTGCTTTATCACTGAGCCACATCCTCAGCTGTTTTTATTTTTTGAGACAAGTTCTCACTAAGTTGCTTAGGGCCTTGTTAAGTTGCTGAGGCTGGCTTTAAACTTGCGATCATTCTGCCTCAGCCTCCTGAGCCACTGTAATTACAGGCATGTACCACTGAACTCAGCTCCTACAACCTTCTTAAACTTATGTGGTCTATCCTTTTTTTCAGATCCCATTTAAAATTCTGAGCGGGCATGACCATGTTGTGAGTTCCTGCCACTTCTGCGTGAACGACACCAAGCTCCTCAGTGGCTCCTATGATCGCACTGTGAAACTGTGGGTAGGTGGCTCTGTGTTAGGTTCTCCTGCAACTAAGATTAGGTACCTTTTATGAAGAGTTCTGCAGTACTGTTTCCTGACACTTAAGGATCCCAAGATTTGTAAAGGCCTTCTGAACAGAGTTGCAAGAAGGAAGAACCTTAGGGGCTGGGGTTGTGGCTCAGAGGTAGAGCACTTGCCCAGGACGCGTGAGGCACTGGGTTTGATTCTCGGCACCACATTAAAATACAGATATTGTGTTCACTTACAACTAAAAAATAATATTAAAAAACAGAAGAAGAAGAAGAAAAAGAAGAAGAAGGAGGAACCTGCCTTAGTGTCAAGTAACCAGAAAGAGAAGTCAGTGTAGCTTAGGCCGGTCTATGAATCTGGATGCTCTGAGAGCAGGGGATGAGACCACTAGACTTAGAACTCCCAGCTTTTTTGAGGGTAGTTCTGCTGTGCCTGGGTACTACCTGAGGTTTCTGAGCTGTTATTTCTCTGGGTCTCCTCTTTCAACCACGGAGACTGTATGGCCAGGTCTGGGTTGTCATAGAGGACAGAAATATGGACAGGCCTGGGACCTGTCCATGAGAGGTGGTTGAGAGAGGTAGGTCTGAGTACAGATCAGCACCTCAAAGTGTAAGAGGCAGGGGCACAAGGGATGAGGGTGTGATGTTCAGGCAAGGTTGCAGAGAGGTGACCACCTGGAGCCCTTCCAGAACTTTTGTGGACATGCTAGAAGATCTGCACAGGTTTTTTTTTTTTTTTTTTTTTTTTTTGAAGGCATTGCTGTTTAGTGAGGAGTGGGTGAGGAGGAAGCAGGGTTGGAGGATGGCAGTGGCCGTCAGGGGCCAAATTAGAGATGGCTGTGTGGCTGGGGCTGTGATCCATGGGGGAGGACAGTCAGTTCTGAGTTTTATTGTCTTCTGGCTTCAGAAGCAGGAAGGGGAATGGTGGAGAGAATCAAGGCTGGTTCCCTGGTTCTGCTTTGGGTAACTGGGTAGCCAAAATCTCCTGACTCTACAGATAACCACAGAGGAACATCTTCTGTCATCTGGGGGTACCAAGGCCAGGTTGACCTGATGGAAGGTTTGAGGACTTTACAAGCTGGTTCAGACTCCAATTTAGGACCTACCAGCTCTGTAACCCTAGGTAGTTACATGACTTCCTGGGCCTTCCTGAGTCTCTCAAATCTCAGGACCAGCTGTGTTTCAGGGCTGCCACAGGCTTGCCTAGCTCATAGACCAGACCCCATCAGACTGCCACTGCCTCCTTTTGTAGCTGCCCCGTTAAAATCCCTGTACCCAGAGCCCATGATCTCCTTGGGAAAACTGTGACTTTCTCAAGGACCCTTAAACACTTTTCTAATCCTTAGGGTGACCAAAATACACTGGGGACAAGGGAATCCCTACTCTTGTCATCACCTAGGATGGGGGCATAGCAACTTTCCAAATATGTGTTTTGCTTTACCATCTACAGATTCTTCCATTTCAGTCGTAGTGTCCCTCTCTGTTTTGGCTAAAGGGCTCCTATCTCCATCAATGCATATTACCTGTTTCCACTCTGATTGTTGTCCCCAAATTAGGGACCATTCATGGAGATATCCTTTGTTCCCCACCATGGCCTACTTGCCCTTGCTCCTTGCCTTTTCCATCCCCCACCCACAGGCAGTTACTTCTACATTTGCTACCTCAAATGTCCTCCTCTTTCTCACAAACCATCCTTCTTCCTATCTCAGGAAACATGTCCGAGCACCTTACCCTCGCCACTGCACTTGCCTACCCACTCTGCTGCCATCTCCAGGCAGGCTGAGCATCCTGAGGCTCTTGCCCTCTGCCTTCCTTACATCTTCCCCTCTAACCCCACCACTGCCAGCTCTCCCTAGGGCTTCCTAACTTGGCTGGCCCCATTGATTGCCCCTTCCCAGGAGCTCTTTCACTTCCCATTGTTTTTCTTTTCCCTATTTTCTTCCCCCCAGCTGTGGCTCTCCCTGCCTCAACCTCTGCTCTCATCCTGTACCCTCTTTCCCTCTGAAGAGGATAAAGCCATTACTGCACACAACCACCTTCTCTATTCACAGAATCTTGACTCCAGCCAGCACCCGAACATCTAACTTCATCTTTCTTTCTTTCTTTTTTTTTTTGATGGTGCTGGGGATTGAACCTAGGGTCTTGTGGTTCATGTGAGGCAAGCACTTTACCAACTGAGCTATATCCCCAGCCTAACTTCATCTTTCAAAGCCCTTTTTTTTTTGAATGTGAGATCATTGTGAATAATTTGGAAGGTCCATATGAAGAAACCAGGGAAGAAAGTCACCCTTCATTCCATTTCCAATATTCCTCAAAATATATTGGCACTTTTCTTTATTGTCATTAAAAAAATAAGTTTGGGTAGATTTCTAGAAGTAGGATAGATAATCCATTTGCATAATTATGATATTATTTCTTTACTATTACTGTGTTTTCTTTAGAGCACAGTAAAATATATTTTAAAACATAAAAAATATGCTTGGTAGTTTTTCTCATATACGTAATATGATTTTATTACAGAAAATGCATAAAACACAAAAACTCATCATTTCATGACCCCAGAGTTATCTGCTCTGAAATTGCTGGAGGGTATTTTTTGTTTTTTGTATATATATATATATATATATATATATATATATATATATATATATTTATTTATTTATTTATTTATAAAATTGGGGCCACATAGAAATACTGAATATATATCCATAGTACACTTGAGCTACTCATATTATCACATCTCCTTGATTTTTCCTATTTATTATAGCCTCTTCCTCCCCAATCATTCAAAATCTGACTAGTATTCCCCCTTAAATTGAATCCACAGGTTTCACTTGGCGTTTGGAATCCTGCTTCCCAATGCCAAGTGAAGAGAGCAGGCTTTTCAGTCCATAACTCTATTCTTCCTCTTGGCCATGGGGTGTCACTGTTAAGTACTGAACCTGCACAGCCCTATAGTACCTATCCATTCTAGTAATGCTCTTAGTTGATAGGGGGCCCTCTCCCGGCTCCGTGGGCCTCTCTCAGTTCCAGGCCCCACAGTTATCATTTCCTTAGTTCACAGAAATAAACAAACAAACAAACAAACAAACATATATATCCCCGTAGAGCAACATACCAGCCAGGGAAGCTGGATTCCAGGCTGTCATTACTAGCCCTTTTTTTCCTAGGCCATTAGACTCTTAAGCCCAGGTTACCAGCTTTGGATGGACCTGTCTTGGTACATTTCAACTTTGAAACTCTGATGTCCTTTCCTTTCACTGGGCTTTGAGTAGGGTCTTCTAGGATCACCTGAAATGACCCGGTTATTTCGGGTCTTCTAGAATAGGAGTTGAGGCCTGGGTCTGTGCAGCAAAGCATTCACATAGCAGGCCTGGGGCTGCTAGCCTTGGCAAGGCTGCCGTTGACTTGCATTTAGGAATCTGGTAGGTCAACAGTTCCCTATAATCATACGAGGTTTCTCCAAATGGCAAGGCTGGCTCACTCCCCTTGACTGCTTGTACAAGCTGCTTTTCTTCTGGAAGTCTGGAAGTTGGGTGTGTGTTAGGCAGACAGTTCCTATGTGATCAGCCCTCTCCCGGAAGACAACACCTCATACAAGTTGTTGCAACTTGTTGCTGGAGGAACTGAGTACTTTCTAGCCACTTCTCAGAAGTTCTTAGAAACCTGAACTGTTTTCTCTGGACTTCACCCCAAGCCCCTTTCTCTTTGCTGGTTTGGCTTTGTGTCTGTCACTGTAATAACTCTCAGCTGTGAATATGACTCTGAAGGAGTTCAGTGAATCATTAAACCTGTTCCCCGAACAAAGTCCCTTACCAGAAGGCCTTGGAGTCCTGATGCTAAGTGGTCTTTATATATCCTGGGAGTGATGTTACAGATTACAGACCTGCCCTTTTCAGACTGAAAAATTCCTACACCCTGGCACCATTATTTTACATAACAAATGCAAGACCTTTGTAGTTAGTCATTTTTTTAAAAAAGGAAATATAAAAAGAAAACAAATTGAGTCATGTCTTACCAATAACTTGTGTCAATGGGGCTCCCTGTAACCTCTTCCCCTGCTTTTTATCCTAAAAACCTGTTGGCACATATGTTATTAAAAATATTTTGTCTTTGCTACCACAGATACCCTTCTACTCTGGTACCCTGCTTTGCTCTCATCATATTCCGTCATTACTGACCTTCAGCATAATTGTCAGCAGTTGTCAATGCTCCCCTATTGGGCAGGCTACATTTCTGTTTGTTCATTTTGAGACAGAGTCTCCTTAAGTTGCCCAGGCTGGCCTTAAATTTGCAAGACCCTCCTGTCTCAGTCTCCTGTGTAGTGGGATTGCAGGCATGTACTACCACAGATTATTTTAGCCATTCCCATTTAGATGGACTCCCAGATTCTTGCCTTATTTTTGCATCACACATTACCTACAATGCAAGACGAACCTTTTTCTTCTTCCTTTTTTTGATACCAGGGATTGAACACAGGGGCACTTAGCCATTGAGACACATCCCCAGCCTTTTAAAATATTTTATTTAGAGACAGGGTCTTGCTGAGTTGAACTTGTTTTCTCTTTCTTTCCTTCCTTCCTTCTTTCTTTCTTTCCTTCCTTCCTTCCTTCCTTCTTTCTTTCTTTCTCTCTCTCTCTTTCTCTCTTCTTCCTTCCTTCCTTCCTTCCTTTCTTTCTTTCTTTCCTTCTTTCCTGCTGTGGATTGAACCCAGGGCCTTATGCATGCTAGGCAAGCCCTCTACAACTGAGCTATATCCCCAATCATGGATGAACCTTTTTATGCATACTTATTTGACCACAAATATGTTCATTTTGTTAGGAGGGCCCTCTTAGAGTAGAAATGTTGGGTCAAAGGACATAATATTTAAAAAGAAAGTTCTTGAAAGATATTGCTAGATTCTGCAAAGCCTTTTAGCCAGTAAATAATGAGAATATTATCTGTTTGCAGTTCTGCTTCAAGAGTGGCCAGTGCCCATCTGGTGTGTGTGGAGCAATAGGGAAGTATTAGGGGATGCCATGCAAGGCAAGGGCATCCTTTCTGCTCAGGATCAGGGAGGTGTTGGAAAGTCCTTTTGATCTTTGGAACTGAGTGAGAGTCATAGAGACCAGTAGGAAAGCTAAAGGCTGCTGTTGACCTCAGTCCATGACTTCAGCAAACATAGCTGTGACCACTCTCTCTCCTCTCTCTCCTGCTGATTTGAGGATGCCATGGACGGATCTGTGATTCGGGATTTTGAGAAAGGGCCCTCAGCTCCTGTTACAGAGTGCAGCATCACAGCTGACAGCAGAAGGTAACCTTTCCTCTTGTTTACCCTGGGCAGGAAAAGTGAGAGGTAGCCGGCAGCCCACTGTACAGACATGACAGTGACAATGTTGTTTTAAAAATTTTTAAAGCAAATACACAACTATGTTCCCTTATTGGGGCTCAAGGTATCTACTCTTTTGTTGTGAGAAATCAAGTGGATGTGACAGCACATTGAAAACTTAAAGCACTTAAAAGAGAACATTTATTGTGGTTAATCCATTCTGAATTTTCTTCATGGAAACCTAGACTGTCTTCTCTGGACGTCACCCCCAAGCTCCTTTCTCTTTGCTGGTTTGGCTTTGTGTCTGTCACTATAATAACTCTCAGCTGTGAACATGACTCTGAAGGAGTTCAGTGAATCATTAAACCTGTCTGGCCTTGTAGTCGCATGGAAACTGTGGCAGCTGCAAGGGGCCTTAGCAATCTAGGCAAGGCTCTTATTTTTCAGGGGAAACTGGGGCCTAGGAAAGCATGTCATCTGGGAAGGGTCAGGGATAGGAAGCAGTGGCTCACAAGAGGAAAGCTTCAGGGATGTGTTTGCGTAAATCTATTCACATGGATGTGAGAAATGGGAGGTGGGTCTTTAACAGTCAAGAATACTTGCTTTAAAATGGCTTAGATTTTATCCTGAGTAGCAGCAGATATACTAATAAAATAACTGAAACTGGTATACTAATAAAATAACTAGAATGGGATTTACGTTTCATAGGATTTTATAGAGACAAACTTTGCCACAGAAATGTGGAATATAAGGAGACAAAAGTACATTTGTTTTTAGCTAAATGTACAATAAAATATTTCAAAACAAAGTCAGCTGTCTATGAATGCGTTTTCCTGTAAAAAGACATGAGCAGAGAGGGAAGTGAGTGGTCCTTATGAATTATAAAGATCTTCTTAGAAGGATGTTGTAAATTACAGAACAGAAGAAATGCTACTTTTAAAGCCTTAAATATAAAAGAATGTATCTGGCTGGCTGAAGGAGTACAGAAGATAATTGGTAATATTAGATTGTCTCTGTTTTGAATGGGAACACACTACTCCCCAGTGGGGCTCATGGAGCATCTTTTGAAAGATTCTTGTATTATTTGCAATCTTGGTCCTAAATTATAAAAAGAAGAAAAAGTCCTCGTAGAAACCACAGGCCTGATTGTCTCTGTGGTTAAGGCCCAATGTTTGTCATTTTATTTCTAGAATTATTGCAGCATCCTATGACAAAACAGTGAGGACTTGGGACCTTGAAACAGGCCAGCTACTGGTATGTATATCCTGCCCCTATGGCCCAGGATCTTGACTGGGCCTCGTAGCTTTGGGCTGGACTTTGAATTAGGAGAGATGACAAAAACCCAGTTTTCCAGGAATGGAGAGTTTTCTTGGGGACCAAGATGTAGATGTGTACAGCACTCTATGGTGGTCATCGCTTGCAAAGTTTGGAAGATGTAGATAGTGGAGGGGGTGTAACAGGCAGATCAAGGGCTTCTGTTTGAAAGATGGGAAGGGTTTGGCTACACAGAAAGAGGCTGGGTTGGGGTTGGGCATGGTATTCAGGGTCCCCTGTGGGCTATTTGAATTTGATGAGACAGGAAGTAGGGCTGAGGCCATGGGACACAGGCCATTGTGGCCAAAGAATCATAACTTTGTGCCTTTCCCAATCTGTTCTCTTTCTGTCTTAGAGGGGGCTACTATCTACCCACCAAATAGGACTGAGATCTACCCTTTCCTGCCCATGCCTGGGCAACCTCAGCCCTGCTCAGGGCCTACTAGGGACCTTCTCTGTTCCCAGCTCTTCTGTTCTACCTTCAGCAACAATTTATGGCCTCCCCTCTTCTTTTGTCTTCTCTCCGCTCCTTAAAAGAAAACAATTTTTTTTTTTTTGTACTAGAAATTGAACCCAGCGATGCTTTACTACTCAGCTATAAGGCCAAGCCTTTTTTTTTTTTTCAATATTTATTTTTTAGTTGTAGTTGGACACAGTACTTTATTTCTTTATTTTTGTGTGGTGCTGAGGATTGAACCCAGTGCCTCACGCATTCTAGGCGAGCCACTATGGCTGAGCCACAACCCCAGCCCCATAATCCCAAACCTTTTTAATTTATTTTGAGACAAGGGGTCACTAAGTTGTTGAGGCTGGCCTCAAACTTGCAATCCTCCTGCCTCAGCCTCCTGAGTTGCTGGGATTACAGGCATGTGTGAGTGTGCCCAGCCATGTTCCAGTTTTAGGGTATATAACTAGATTTTGTTGCTAATTTTTTTTTTTTTTTGGTACTGGGGATTGAACCCACTTAACCACTATGCCACATCCTCAACCTTTTTTTTTTCCCAATATTTTTTTATTTAGAGACAGGGTCTCACCAGGTTGATTAGGGTCTCACCAAGGTGCTGGGCCTGGCCTCGAACAACTTGCGATCTTCCAGCCTCATCCTGGCCTTGAACTTGCAATCTTCCTGCCTCAGCCGCCCGAGTTGCTGGAATTGCTGGCATGTGCCACTGCACCCAGCAGTCATTGCTAATTTTAAAAGCATAGAGTTGTAAAAAATGCCTTTGAGAAATTTATGCCAACTCATACCCTAGGTGCTCAAGAGGAATACACCATCTCCTACTCTCACATGCTAGATATCATGATTTAAACAAAATTCTAGTCCATATGATAGCTGAAAAGCAAGACTTGCACTGATTTTTCTTTACTTTGAATATTTTCCTACATGTTTATTTCTTCTGTTGTAAGTTTCCTATTATTCTTGTCTCTAGCCAGTTTTCCTACTTGAAGTGCTTTTCTCTTTCTTCTTTAAAAGTACTTCTATTTATTTTTGTTGCACAAGTCATCCATGCCTTTTGCCAACGGTGAAGCTCAACTAGTTATCTACTGCTGCTTGATAAATGACTCTGAAACTTAGCAGCTTTGAACAGCAACATTTATATCTCTCATAGGAAATCTAGGAGCAGCTTAACTGGGTGGTTCTGGCTCAGGTATTTTGTAAAGTCACAGTAGAAATGTCTCTTGGGGCTACAGTCATTTTAAGGCTCCACTGGGGCTAAAGGGACTCCTTCCAAGATGGCTCACTCACATGGCTGTTGGCAGGAGGCCTCAGTTCATCTCAACGTGGACCCCCAGGGAGACATATGGACATGACAGTTAACTCCCACAGAGTACATGAGCCAAGAAAGAACAAGGAGTAAGCCATGATTTTTTTTTCATTTTTATTTTTAATTTTGGGGGATTAAACCCAGGCCCTTGAAAAAGCCAAACATTGCTCTACCACTGAGCTATACCCCAGTCCCTTGATTTTTTTTATAACCTAATACCACATTGTGCATTCTGCCACATTTTACTCTTTAGAAGCAACATTCAAGAGGAGGGCTCTTTTATTCCACCCGTTGGAGGGAGGACTGATGAAGAGTTTGAGGAAAATTCTAAAGCTATCACAATAACAATACTATAATTTATGATGTATAGAGAGATCCTCCTTTCCTACATTGTTAAGCAGTCCATTCATTGTCCCCTTCTTGCCCTTGGGTGTAGGGTTGGGGAGGGCTGGTTTTTTTTTTTTTTTTTTGGTCTTGTCTGTGTATAGGGCAGACATTTAGTAAAGTCTTGTTTACCCAACTGAATAGGAAGAAAGTTGCCATTGCTACAACCTTGCTGCCATATCTCTAGGTATTCTCTGTGTCCCTCCTGGACACAGATATTATTGACTTAATGAATTAAAAGCAAACTTAAACATTCAGTTCTTTTCTTCTCACTAGCCCATTAGAAGTACTCAGTGACCATACGTGGCCAGTGGCTGCCATGTTGGATGGTTCAAGGACAGAACAGTCCATCATCACAGAAAGTCCTACCGGGCAGACCTGGGTCAGAGAGAAAGGGAAAACAACTTTTCAGTTGTTCTTCCTTTCAGTGGCAGACCAACCATGATTACTTCATAGTGTCCTGTAAGTTGTCTCCTAACGGCAAATATGTGGCCTTAAGCTTGGATGCGGATCGTGGAATCTGCATAATGGATGCGGAAAACACCACCATTTTGGCAAACATTAAAGGTGAGGTTGCACAGCTCCCTGCTCATTCTGTCTGTTATAGGAACAATTGCTTGTCACTTGATGGGTAGTGACTTTCCAGTGGTTTATTTGGTAGAACTATTATGAAAAAAGCCATATAAGTAAAGTGGGATGCCCACTAAGAAAAGCAGTTAAAACCAAGTCTTTAATAAATGCTTTCCCTTCTGTCTCATGCTTGTAGCAAATGAAACATTTTGCTCAACCTCACGTGGATATTGAAAGTCTAACTTTTTATTGAGTGGAGGCTTGACTTTCTTAACATTTCCACCTGTATTTTTACAATTTAAAAATAATCATCAGGGCTGGGGTTGTAGCTCAGTGGTAGAGCTCTTGCCTCACATGCGTGAGGCCCTGGGTTTGGTCCCCAGCACCACATAAAAATAAACAAATAAAAATAGAGATAATGTGTCCATCTACAACTAAAAAAAAAAAATCATCACTGTATGTCAGTTTCCTGGATGTGACACTGTAATATGGTGATGTAAGGTATAAGTGTGGGGGTAAGTTGGGTGAAGGGCATACAAGGATTTCTCTGTTATTCCTTGTGCCTAGAAGGAGATTTGCAGTTATTTCAAAATAAAAAGTTAAAAAATATATGATAATTGTAAAAACAAATTCAGCATGTAAAATAAAAGATGAAAGGTGGCTTCACCTGTCCTATCTCTTCCCCAGATTATGATAATTATCTATTATCTATTACTATATAATAATCCATTATTATGATTATATATTATACAACAATAATATAACCTATTATTATTATTACTATTTTCTGTGGTGCTGGGAATGGAACCCTAGCCATACACATGCTAGACAAGCACTGTACCACACCCTAGCCCACAGTGATCTATTATTAGCAATACATTGCCAGGTAGTTTTCCTGAATATGTGTGTGTTGGGGGGGTGATATGTGTATCTACTTCCCATAGATCCTTTATGTTTATTTTTATTTATTTTTATCATCATGTTACCATGATATGTGTGCCACCCCACAGATTGTATTTTTCCCTTCATGAATCACTTCACATTCTATCTTTCCTTGTGCTTCCTTTTTATTTAGGTATTGTGGTAGTGGGGATTGAACACAGCGTGTTTTACCAGTCATTTTTATTTTTATTTTGAGGCAGGGTCTCACTAAGTTGTTGAGGTTAACCTTGAACTTGTGGTGCTCCTGCCTCAGCCTCCACAGCTGCTGGATTCACAGGCATGCGCCATCCTGCCCAACTTCCTCACACTCCAGGTTCTAACTGGGCACCTCACTTCCCCATGCGCCCCACTCTTCAGGCCTTTGCATGTGCTGTTCCTTCTGTCTGGAGCACTTGTCCTTGCCTGCTTCCCTTGATGACTTTTAGGACTCTTTTTGGTCCCCGGAGGGGATCAATCCCTTTTTGACCTCTGGGAGGCCAGGAGCTGTGATGTACCGTGAAGTGCTCTCAAGATCCTCAGCATGTAGCAGGTAGTTCCTATCAGATTGAGAGCTCTGTGGGGGCAGCAAGAGTAGACCAACTAGTCTCACTGTTCAAAACCTTGCACATAGTAGGCATTCAGGAAAGGTCTGGTTAGCTGAATTGTCCCTTAAGAAAACTGGAAGTATGTTTCCATAAAGTTGCTGGGGGGCGGCGGGGGAGTCTTGTGAGTCCTCTAGACCATATAAAGCATGTAACCCAGTATGTGGACCTCATGGTGACAAGTCACTCTTCCTGTGCCACAGATCATCACAGAAGATCAATCATGGCATGCTGCTTTGACCCTGACAGCCAGAAGTTGGCTTCTGTCTCGTTGGATAGGTCCATCAAGATCTGGGATGTCACATCCAAAGCCACACTGCTTACCATCACAAAGTGAGAAGGATCAGTGGGAGGCAGGCAGCACCCTGCAGCTGGAAGGCGGGCAGGACATCTCCCTTCATGCCCTCCTGGATTCCACACACAATCCAGTGTCCCTATGGAGGTATCTCCATTGTGATCATGGGTGCTCCAAGGAGGCTAGAGAGAGAGACAGGGCAGGCCACAGAGAAACCACCACCTGTGGCTTGTGCGCTGTGCTGGGCCTCAGCAGCATTTATTTCAACGCAAGCCCACACTGAAAAACCTTGTGCAGAGCCCCCATAAAAATGTGACTTTTTGCGGGGCATGGTGGTACATGCCTGTAATCCCAGAGTCTCTGGAGGCTGAGGCAGGAGGATCACCAACTTCAAAACTAGCCTCATCAGTTTAGTAAGGCCCTCAGCAACTTGGCAAGACCCTGTCTCAAAAAAGAAAAAGGGCTGGTATTATGGCTCAGTGGTTGAGCACCCCTAGGTTCAATCCCTGGTACCAAAACATATAAATAAATAAAAGGGGCTGGGAATGTGGCTCAGTTGTTGAGTGCCCCTGGGTTCAATCCCTAGTAACCAAAAAATTTAAAAAAAGAAAAAGTGACTTTCTTGCATCTCTTGTAAAATGGGAAGATCTGATAATTTAGGGCCTTAAGGGTCATGCAGGTTGTTACTGCTAGATGGGACAAGTCCATTTGCAGGAGGCCCTGTTACTTCTAGATGGGACAAGTCGTTTGCAGGATCCTGAAGTTAGGATCCCAGAAAATGTATGCACCCGTCACTCTGCCTGGGTCAGCTTCCCACGGAGATCTGGTGTAGGTTCCCATCCTGTGTAATCTTGAGCCTCGGTTTTCTCACCTGAAACAGCAGAGGTGAGGTCTGAATAAGATATTGGAGGAAAAGATTTTGAGCACTCTGCGGGCCTCACCATGGGCCCTCAGCATGTGCTCTGTTACTTAGAGGTCCGCCCAGGGAAGGCTGTCCTCTGCACTGCTCCTTAGAACTGCTCTGTGGTGGCATTGAAGGGGCTGAGGCAGCAGAGGTGACCCAGTTCTACCTGTGGTCAAGCATCCCAATCTGCTCCATTCTCTTGCCCCAGTGGGCACAGTGGTGGGAAAGGGAAATAAATACAATATCTACTGGTAGTTTTGAAGTACCTTAAGTTTATGATCTCTGGAAATGTAGTCTTTAGCAAAATAGAGAGGCAAGGGGCCTCAGAGCCACCCATCAGGGCCTTAGAAGGACCCCATGCATGATTTCCAGTTCTGCTATTGGCATCTTTAAATTCTTAATCATTTCTGAACACAGGACTTTGCATGTTTTTATTTCAAAAATATGTAACTTATTTTTATAAAAATGTGAAACATGAAACAGTATAAAATTAAAAAGGTACAAAAGGATATACAGTAGAGTGGAAAATCTCCTACATCTTACAGCCATTCAGTTTCCCTCCCAGAAGTCAATGCTTTCCCCTCTTCTTTCTTTCCCAGGTCCCTTCCTCTCATACTATACAATTAGCCCATTTAAAATGAATTCAGTAGTTTTGGGAAATTTCAGTAGTTTTGATAATGACATTATCATTAATTATGGTAAAAGACATCCAACATGAAACTTGACATTTTAACCATTTTTAAGTGCACAGTTCATTGGATTAATTACATTCACAATATTGTGTAACTCTCACCACTGTCTGTTTCCAAAACCATTTCGTCACCCCAAACAGAAACTCTGCATCCATTAAGCAATAACTTCCCACTCCCACTCCCCCACCAGCCCATGGTAAACTTTATTCTACTTCCTGCCTTTGTGAATTTGCCTATTCTAGATATTTCTCCTAAGGGGAATCATCGGATGTTTGTCCTGGCTTATTTCACTTAAAATAATGTCTTCAAGATTCATATGTGTTGTAGCATGTAACAGATCTTCATTCCTTTTTATAACTGAATAGTATTTCATCATATGTGTGTATACCATGTTTTGTTTATTCACCTGTCGAAGGATACCTGGGTTATTTCTACTTTATAGCTACTGTGAATAAAGTGGCAGTGCATGCTGAAATATAAGTACCTATTTGAGTCCCCACTTTCAATTCTTCTGGTTATATATTTGGGAGTGGAAATGCTAGGTCATATGGTAATACTATGTTTAGCTTTTTGAGGAAATGGGACTTTACCTTTTATTTTGTTCTGGGCACTGAAGATTATATAGCTGGTCTTGCTGAGGATTTTGAAAACTTATAATCTCAAATGATTTTGAGCTTGCAAGGAGTAAACATAAGTACTTTATACCCTTTTTTTGCTTAAACTGTCAAACATAATTTGGAAAACTCAAGAGGAGAAGAAAGGTCTACTGCATTTACCCATATCTTCTTACTGTGTTCTGTCTTCCTTCCTGAAGTTCAAGCTTCCTTTTTTAAATCTCCTTTCTCTGTAGAAAAAGTTTCTTGAGAAATTCTTATAGTGAGTCTGTGAGCAAACTGTTCTCTTTTTTCTTCTTCGTCTGAAGATGTCTTGATGTATCTTTCATTCCTGTAGAATATTTTCTTTGGATTAGAAATCTCAGATAATAGTTCTTTCTAAACTTAAAAAACTGTCATGTCACTTTCTTCTGGCCTCTGTGACTTCTGATGAGAGATCCACTACCATTCATGTTGTTTAAGATGTCATTTCTCTCTTGTTACTTTCAAGATCATTCTCTTTTCTTCATTTTATCTTTCTACTTTTTGTGTAGTGGGGGTTGAACCCACGGGAGCTCTTACCACTGAGCCCCAGCCATTTTTATTTTTTATTTATTTATTTTTAAAATATTTATTTATTTTTTTAGTTGTAGTTGGACACATATCTTTATTTTATTTATTTATTTATTTTTAAAGAGAGAGAGAGAATTTTTAAAAAATATTTATTTATTTTAGTTTTCGGTGGACACAACCTCTTTTTTTCATTTTTTTTATTAGTTATGCATGATAATACAAGATCTAGACATATCATACATTTGAATCAAATGGGTATAATTTCTCATTTTTCTGAGTGTACAGGTTGCAGAATCCCATTGGTTATACAGACATGTATATACATACAGCAATACTAGTGTCTATTTTATTCTGCTGCCCTTCCTATCCCCCCTCCCCTCCCATCACTTCTCTCTACCCAATCTAATGTGACACATTTCTTTTTTTTTTTACCCTCACATCATCATACATGTATTTTATATAACGATGAAGGTGTCCTTCCAGCTTCTGTGCAATTCCCCTTCTCCCTCCCTTTCCCTCCTACCTCTCTTCCCTATCTAGAGGTAATTTTCTTCTCATGCTCTTCCTCCCTACCCCATTTTGAGTCACCCCCCTTATATCAAAGAAGACATTCGGCACTTGTTTTTTAGGGATTGGCTAACTTCACTTAGCATAATCTGCTCTAATGTCATCCATTTCCCTGCAAATGCCATGATTTTGTTATTTTTTAGTGCCGAGTAATATTCCATTGTGTATAAATGCCACATTTTTTTTTTATCCATTCATCTATTGAAGGGCATCTAGGTTGGTTCCACAGTCTAGCTATTGTGAATTGTGCTGCTGTGAACATTGATGTAGCTGTGTCCCTGTAGTATGCTCTTTTTAGGTCTTTTGGGTATAGTCCGAGAAAGGGAATAGCTGGGTCAAATGGTGGTTCCATTCCCAGCTTTCCAAGGAATCTCCATACTGCTTTCCAAATTGGCTGCACCAATTTGCAGTCCCACCAGCAATGTACCTTTTCCCCCACATCCTCACCAACACTTGTTATTGTTTGACTTCATAATGGCTGCCATTCTAACTGGAGTGAGATGGTATCTTAGAGTGGTTTTAATTTGCATTTCTCTGATTGCTAGAGATGGTGAGCATTTTTTCGTGTAATTGTTGATTGATTGTATATCCTCCTCTGAGGAGTGTCTGTACAGATCCTTGGCCCATTTGTTGATTGGGTTATTTGTTTTTTATTTTATTTTTATGTGGTGCTGAGGATCGAACCCAGCACCCCGTGCATGCCAGGCGAGCACGCACATGCCAGGCGAGCACGTTACCGCTTGAGCCACAACCCCAGCCCTTATTTATTTATTTTTATGTGGTGCTAAGGATTGAACCCAGGGCCTCACATATGCTAGGCAAGTGCTCTACCACTGAGACACAACCCCAGCCCTATTTTTATTTTTAAATTTTTAAAAAGACTTTTTTTTTAGTCGTAGATGGACACAATTCCATTATTTTATTTATTTTTATGTGGTGCTGAGGATCGAACCCAGTGCCTCACACATGCCAGGCTAGCACTGTACCACTGAGCTATAGTCCCAGTCTCCATTTTTATTTTTTATTTTGAGACAGGGTCTCACTGAGTTGCTGAGGCTGGCTTTGAACTTGGGATCCTCCTGCTTCAGCTCTGTAGTTGCTGAGATTATAGGTGAGTGTCACCACACCCTATGCCAGATAATTTATCTTTAGTTTTCAGATATATCTGAGTATGAATCTCTTTGGATTTCTCCTGTTTGGGGTTTATTCAGAATCTTGAATATGTAGATTTATATCTTTTGCCCAATTTGGTAATATTTCAGCCATTATTTTTTTTCTTTTTCAGCCCTGCTTCCCCCAGCCTCCTCCTTCAGTTCTTTAATGACACAAAGGTTAGATCTTTTGTTATAGTCCTCTAGGTGTCTGAGGCTCTGTTCTTTATTTTCCAGTCTATTTTTTCTGTTTTTTTTGGATTGGATAATTTATGTTGTTTTGGTTTCATGTTCATTAATTCTTTTCTCAATGATACTGTTAGGCAATCCAGTTAATTTTTTATTTCAGTTACTGTATTTTTCATTTCTAAAATTTTATATTTTTCATATATATATATATATATTGTGTGTGTGTGTGTGTGTGTGTGTGTGTGTACGCTGCTGGGGAATCAAACCCAGGGCTTTGCATAAACCAGGCAAGCACTGTACCACTGAGCTACATCCCCAATCCTATACCACTGAAGTTTTTCTCTTTGTGTTTTTTTCAAGCCCATGATTATAATAATTGTCCCTCTGAGCACTTTTATGATGGCTGCTTAAAAATCCTGGTCAGATGATTCTACTATCTCTGTCATCTCAGAGAATGGCATTTGTTGATTATATTTCTCACTCCCATAAGATGAAGGATTTTCATTTGAATCTTGATGTTTGGGGTATTATGAGACTTGGAGTCTGATTGAAACCTTGTGTTTGAGCATGTCACCTTGTTACAGCCTGACAGGATGGCAATCTTGGCTCCCTATTTAGCTTTTGCTGATATGAGTCAGGTGGGGCTGCAGATTTTCCTGAGGTGTTTAGCTGAAGTGGGGCAGTCACTATCGTAAGTTTTCTGTCTTGCTAGTCTGTCCCTTCTTGGCCCTTTGGTCAGGGAAAATAGGCTTTTCTTGGGGGCTTTTTAAAAATTTTTAAATTTGGGGCTGGGGATGTGGCTCAAGCGGTAGCAAGCTCGCCTGGCATGCGTGCGGTCCGTGTTCGATCCTCAGCACCACATACAAACAAAGATGTTGTGTCCGCTGAAAACTTAAAAAAAATTTTTAAATTTGCTTGCATACATTGTTATTGTTGTTTTCCAGCACCTAGTCCAAGATATGTGACACAAAAAGAATTCCCAAATTACTCATAGCATCCTGTCCTTAGGGCCCAAGATACTTAGCTGGTCTGTCTCTTTTGTCTGTCTTCTATACTCTTCTTCTTCTCTCTGCCCCAACAGCTGTCCCCCATTCTTGCTAGGGATTGAACCCAGGGGCATTAGAACACTGAGCTACAGAACTATAGTCCCAGCCCTTTTTATTTTTAATTTTTATTTACTTATTATTTGTATGTGGTACTGGGTATGGAGCCCAGGGCTGCTCTACCACTAAGCTACATCCCCAGCCCTTTTTATTTTGAGACAGGTAGAACTAAATTGCCCAGATTGGCCTCAAATTTGCAATCCTCCTGCTTCAGCCTCCCAAGTAGCTGGGGTTGCAGTTATGCACCACTGCACTCAGCTTCCGTAGTTTTAGCATCTATTTTATAAGTACTATCCAGGGTTATTAGATGTACTTAGCGGGATGAGTAGGGAGAAGTGGAGAACAGGCTTTAGGGAGAACAAGACTCCTATCTTGTCTGGAACTATAAGTGCAACATTAGTACATAAGTGCACTATAAGTGCAAACTTTCGTACAAGTAGAACAGTCTTTAGTGAGTATTGAAATTTATTTGAAATTAGAATCCATCCTGGAAAATAGGAAGAGATAGTCCTGGTTTACACCCCAGTGAGTGTCAGCATTCTGGAAAGTGCCTGTTGTCTACCTTGGTATGTGCTAGGATGGTTCTTAGCCCACCAGGCCATGGGTTTTGGAGAGGTTTACCCTGGACACCCCTGGGGAGTTGACATTTCTTCTCCTGTGAACTTGCTCAGTGTGCATTGCAATGAGCTGAAACAGGGCATGAAACTTGGCCTGAGCTGTAGAAAACAGTTAGTTCAACCCTTTTCTTCAGGTGAAATGATTGATTTTTATGATCATGGCTGCTCAGAGATACACACTTTAAAAAAGAAAAAAAAAAAAAAAAATATATATATATATATTAGTTGTAGATGAACACACAGTATCTTTATTTTTATGTGGTATTGAGGATTGAACCCAGTGCCTCACACATGTAAGGCAAGCACTTTATCACTGAGCACAGCCTCAGCCCCAGAGATACACACTTTTAAGGTCCAATTGAAAACTGTTTCTAAGAGAAAATGAGAGTCATAGGGAAAATACTTTGAGGACCACAAACTAAACAAAAGGTGATCAAATTCTGACAGATATTTTTTCTTTCAAGAAAAGAAGAAATTTAAAGTTGACAACAATCCAGGAGTGGTGGTGCACGCCTCTAATCCTAGGAATTTGGGAAGCTGAGGCAGGAGGATTGCAAGTTCAAAGCCAGCCCCAGCAACTTAGGAAGCCCTGTCTCAAAATAAAAATAAAAAATTTAAAAAGGGCTGGGGATGTGGCTCAGAGGTTAAGTGCTCCTGGGTTCAATAAGCCCTGTTACCTTAAAAGCGAGAGAGAGAGAGAGAGAGAGAGAGAGAGAGA